CGGTATCAACTCGTCTTTCACCGAGAACAGCATTCCCACTACTGGTGGTACCCTCATCCTCGACAACTGCGACTTCACCGGCTCTGAGAAGGCCATTGTCGGTGCTGCTGGTAACACTATCCTCGAGGGTGGCAAGAAGGTCGAGACCTGGGCTCAGGGTAACGCTCTCGCTGCTGGAGCTACCCTAGGTCGTGTTCAAGGTGACGTCAACGGTGCACCCGCGAAGCCCCAGAGCCTCCAAGGCAACAATGGTTGGTTCGAGCGCAGCAAGCCCCAGTACGAGAATGTCGATGTCTCCAAGTTTGTCAGCCTGAAGTCCAAGGGCGCAGTGGGTGACGGTAAGACCGATGACACGGCTGCTATCCAAGCTGCTATCGATGGTCTTCAGGAGGGTCAGGTTCTCCACGTCGACCACGGTGCCTACCTTATCACTAAGACTGTTGTTATCCCCGCTGAGAAAAACGTCAAGATGGTTGGTGAAGTCTACAGCACTTTCTTCATCACAGGCGAGTTCTTCTCCAACATGGACGACCCCAAGCCTGGATTCCAAGTTGGTGCTAAGAGCGGTGACAAGGGTTCCTTTGAAGCCTCCGACCTCATCATCGGTACTCAAGGTCCTGCTCCCGGTGGTATCTTGATGGAATGGAACATCAACGCAGAGAGCGGTGCAGCCGGTCTTTGGGACGTCCACTTCCGTGTTGGCGGTTACGCCGGAACCAAGCTCCAGTCCTCCAACTGCAAGAAGAACCCCGATGCCACCCACGAGCCCAACCCAGAGTGCATTGGCTCCTTTATGCAGCTCCACATCACCAAGAACTCCAACGGTTACTTCGAGAACGTTTGGCTTTGGACCGCGGATCACGAGCTCGACCAGGACGACCACTCTCAAATTGACATCTACAACGGTCGCGGTATGCTTGTAGAATCCCAAGGTCCTGTCTGGATGTACGGCACTGCATCCGAGCACTCGCAAATGTCGCAGTACCAGTTCTCTGGCGCCAAGGACATCTTCTACGGGGCCATTCAAACCGAGACGCCTTACTACCAGCCCAACCCCACTGCTGCCGTTCCCTTCACCAAGAACGACAAGTTCTTCGACCCGGACATGAGCCAAGCCAAGGCTGCCTGGGCTGTGCGTGTCACCGATGGTAGCGAGAGCATCTGGAGCTACGGCGCGGGTACCTACTCCTTCTTCCAGAACTACGACCAGGACTGTGTCGTTGGCCAGAACTGCCAGCAAGACATGAACGAGGTTGCCAATTCGACAAACATCAACTGGTTTGGTCTATCGACCAAGGCTTCGGTCAATATGATCACTATGGGTGGACAGGGTGTTGCCAAGGATGAGGACAACCGTTCCAACTTCTGTGCTACCCTTGCTATCTTCGCTCAGGCGTAGGTGCTGTACAGTCCTTTCCGACACGCAGCGCGGACTCCTTGATGGAAGTTCCTCGCTATAGACCTCTTCACTTCTTTCCCCTTCTTTACGGGGCCTGTTTTACGAACATGTATACCCATTTGTTTTTCTTGTTCTGTCTTTGTCCCACAAAAAAGGCGGAATGCCACACTCGCTTAGCAATTACGTTGCGATGAAGTCGAGAGCATAAATATACCCCTGGGCAGGATTGAGGAGTTTGGGCCGGATCCTTTTTTTCTTCTTAAGCAGATAGATGACATGAATTTGATATCTCATGATTCCACAAAACTCCTTTCTGCTTGCTTGTGACGGGTGTCCTAGAGGTCTCTGCAATAAATCTTAATGAGGTACACATAGCTAGATGTTGATGGTCGTAACGAGGGCATCGAGGCTCTCGCCAAAACTCACCTCCCCGCGTGCACGTCCTCGGGAAAAACTTCCCCGCGCAGAATCTCGTAGCTCGAGTGTCTGCGAAACTTGACTTCCTCACACAACCTCATCACCACAATTTTCTCTTGCGCAGACATGTCTGAACGATTGGACGAGTCTACGCGACCCGCGAAACGCGCGCGACTCGACGAAAATACCAACATATCCCTCCCCACAACCTCTCCTGCACCAGCTCAGACAGCTGCAATACTTTCAGCGCCGGCGTCGGTTGACACGGATCTGGAGCGCGAAGTACGCGCCGGTATAACCGAGTATGTCTGCCCGAACAACTTGGGTTTCACGGGTATCTTGAAGCAGAGATATACGGATTTCTTAGTCAATGAGATCGCGCTCGATGGGCAGGTGCTGCATTTGAAGAGCACCGAGGTGGAAGAGAAGAAGAAGCCTGTGAAAGAGAATGTCCCGGCGGTCGAAGGTGCAGGCGAACACAAGTCAGAGAGCACAACAGCGACCGACGACAAGGTCGATGCTGTTATGCAGGATGTGGGAGTCGCTGGTGAGACAACCCTCGCAGTACCGGAACCAGCAAAGGTTGAGGATGCGCCGAAAGAATCTGAGAACGATGGGGAGCAGATCATTGGTAAACCAGCGGCAGCCAAGGAAGAGCCAGAAGAAGAGGTGTGTGACTTGTAGGCGTATGCACTGCGCAGATGCTAATACCGTCTAGTTACCGGAAGACGATCGCAACATTCTACATTCGATATTCGGCGAACAGACTACCGACGACATCGTCAAACTTGTCCGACAAGTACGGAAACGCGAATCGAAAAAAGCAAAGGACTTTAAAGCAGTCATATCATCGCCCATAACGGACAAGGACAAGCGCACACAGGCTCACCAGAGCTTGCGTCGCATTTTCCCCAACTTGCTCGAGAGTGCTATGGAGGAGAACCAATGCATACGCATCAAGGCAACTCCCCCAGCGGAGCGCAAAAAGAAGAAGGGCAAGGGTGGTGGTGGGGATCGACAAGACCAGGGACGGCGACGAGGAGGTCAGGATTGGGAGGAGCTTGGTGGTGAATACCTGCACTTCAACCTGTACAAGGAAAACAAGGACACAATGGAGGTTGTTGGCTTCCTAGGAAGTAAGCTCAACTGTGGTGCCAAGGGTTTCGGCTTTGCAGGCACAAAAGATAGACGAGCATGCACTGTTCAGAGGGTCTGTGTCAGGCGCCAAACAGCGCAGCGCATGCAAGCCTTCAACAAGACACTGTTCAATGCTGCTGTAGGAGACTTTGAGTACCGCCACAACGACTTGAAGCTTGGAGACCTGATGGGCAATGAGTTCACCATCACGCTCCGAGACTGCCACTTCCAGAGCGAAGAAGGATTAGACTTTGTTCAAAGACGGCAACTCGCCAACGACGTGGTCAGCAAGGCAATTAGTGACTTTTCCGAGAAAGGTTTCATTAACTACTACGGTCTCCAACGCTTCGGTTCCTTCGCCGCAAGCACCGATGCCATTGGCCGCAAGATGCTGCAAGACGATCTAAAAGGCGCCGTCGAAGACCTTCTTGCGTATAGCGAAACCGCTCTCGCTGCCGCAAATAACGAAGCCACTGCTGTCCAGGTTTCCCAAGACGATCGCAACCGTGCGCAAGCCCTCCACATCTGGAAAACGAAAGGCAGCGGTGCCGAAGCCCTCGAATTCTTGCCCCGCAAGTTTACAGCAGAGCGAAATATAATCCAACATCTCGGGTCCCGAAACAGCAAATCCGGTCGCTATGACCGCAAAACAGACTGGCAAGGCGCGCTCATGACAATTCCTCGTACACTGCGTCTCATGTACGTTCACGCGTACCAGTCTCTCGTTTGGAACACCGTTGCGGGAAAACGTTGGGCTGAACACGGCGACAAGGTTGTTGAGGGAGACCTTGTTCTTGTAAACGAACACCGCGATAAAGAAGAAAACGCCCCATCCAAGACGACGACATCAACACACGACCAGGACGGCGAACCCATCATAAACCCCTCCGGCACCGACTCCTCTCTCGCTCCCGAAGCAGATTTCGAGCGCGCCCGTCCCCTCTCCGCATCAGAAGCCGCGTCCGGAAAATACAGTATCTGGGACATTGTCCTCCCACAACCGGGTTTCGATGTCGAGTACCCGAGAAATTCAATTGGAGAGTTTTACAAGGAGTTCATGGGTAGTGAGAAGGGTGGAGGACTTGATCCCATGGATATGCGGAGGACTTGGAGGGAGGTTAGTTTGAGTGGGGGTTACAGGAAGTTTTTGGCTAGGCCGCTGCAGCCTCTCACTTTTGAGGTGCATGAGTATAAGAAGGTGGATGAGCAGTTTGTTGAGACAGACATGCAGAGGCTGGGTCGGGAGAGGGACGTAGGCCACAAGGCTCAAGAGAAAGAGGACGAGAAGAAGGGAGAGAATGCTGATGCGCAAATGGAAGAAGGGGAGGAGAAAGAAGAGACCAAAGAAGAAGAGGATAAGATTGCGGTTGTACTGAAGCTGCAGTTGGCGAGCAGTCAGTACGCTACTATGGCGCTGAGGGAACTGATGAAGGCTGGCGGTGTCAAGGCATACCAGCCTGCCTTTATGGGTGGCAGATGATAAATGCTCCAAGTATTTGATAAGGAGGCATGGCGGACGAAAGAACATCACATTCAGGAAATTCGTGGCATTTATGTTAGATGTATTGGAAGGATGTCTGTATGACTATGTGTGACAGTGTCACCGCGCACTTCGTCGACGGATGACATTCTGACTGTTTGTCGGCTATGGTTTCACTGAATAACATGGCCTCTTTATATCGACCCCAGGAGTCTTCTCTCTTTGCTCTTCTTCACTCCAACTCCGATCCCAATAGTCTCGCAAGCCTTGAAGGACCTTGGCGTCCTCATACTGTTCGGACCCAATAGACAGGTGTCATTCGGGCAAAGGTTATGTAGGCATGGTCAGTGACCATAGGTAGGCGTCGCCTTCTTTGACCAGGATGGTGCTCTATTTGAGCCACATTCCGATAACGACACGGTCTGGCTCCGACGTTTGCACATTGCTTGTTGGTCGTTGTGTTGGTCGAGGCGATGCGCGCGTGAGTTGTACTACTTATGTAGAGTGTATGTGTGTTCAGTCCCGTTCAGAACTTATCGTTCATACAACATCGTCCGCTTCTTTGAATCAAACAGGAAGAACAGGTGTCGACTTAGGTCTACCAGGTACACTCTCTTCACTTGTGTCCCTCTGGTGCAGTGTCAAGCTGACACGCGCCGGTTGTCGCAACCCCTGCTCCTTCTCTTTCTCCCATAGAGGCATGTCGGTAGCGTCGGATTCGGTGCGGCTCAGGATAGGGTCGGTGCTCATCCGGCCTCTGATTCCCATTTCGGATGCGAAAGGGGTGATTGCGCTGTCCGGTCGTGCGATGGACTCGGTGTATGAAGGCTTGGTAACCAAATGTGGTAATGAGGCTTTGCGCTCGTTACTGAAAAAGCTCTGGTCAATCTCGGAAAGCGCAACATCTCGTCGCGACAATCGTGACACAGAATGTGCTTTTGAATGCTCGTTGTTCGATCGGTGGGCCGATCGCAAACTTCTTGATATGTGATGTGCAGCACTGGACACAGCGCTCGATTCGCGTGCTTGACGTAGCGCGCCTTTCATGAGTGGACGAAGTGTGGCGAGACAACCGGCGATTATACATGCACCTGCTTCGATAGTGCTCCAGATGGAGATGTTGACGACGCTCCAAAAAAAGTCGTCGGTCTGAATTAGGCCTTCTATATAACGGAAGCGTATTCCAGAACAGATGCAGCCGCTGCTGTGTGTTAGGGGGGTCAATCGATGGGGACCTTGGAAGGAGACTTACGTAGCTGCTAGGCAGAGAACAAAACCGACAGAGATCTTGGATCTCTTGTCCATGTTGGCATGCCAGAGAATGGGGATGGGCAGCAACAGAAAGACAAAGTCGGTGAAAGTACTGAAAGCGGCTGTGATGCGTACTGTGAGCGAATGTATAGACAAGCGGTTCACAATACTACATACCTTGCTGATAGGCCATGAACAAGTCAAGCTCCCGCGACGCACAATTGTTCATAAGCTGGTTCATTACGTACTGGTCCAGACTGGGTCCACATCTAAAAAAGCAATAGAAGAAGGCAGATGCCGATGAGATGATGTTGACGCCGACTGTAACGTAGACAAAGATAAGGTGGCAGCGCTTGACGATGATGCGGATGAAGAATATGGCAAGAGATATCTTGACTATCATGATGGTGATGATGTAGCAAGCCTCGCTAGCAACCACCCACTATGATGGTGAGCATGATGATACAAGATGATGGCCAGAATGAGTACCTTTGTCAACACCTGCAACCGGTCCACGCTTGTGACATGGGTGCCTCCACCATTGCACGCAATGTACAAAGTCGATCCACAGTATACGGTGAATGTCATCTACCAGTGTTAGCTGAAGGTTTTTCTTGGTGAAACTGACCAGTAGCTTACGCCAGCAAGGATCATAACGCTATCGTCCCAGCCAAAGTTCGAGATAACATAGGTGCGAGTCCATATCCTGAGTAAGATGAAGAACCAAGCCAAGGCTAGAAAAGCGATGGTAATTCGTAGTTGCTGCTCGGTAGATTGCGCCAGATCAGTCGCACTGTGCATCATGATCAAGGAAGCTAGGATGGACCTGATCTCGCACGATGTGACAGCGGCCTTGGAAAGAAAGACACAGTCGAAATGGTACGGATTCCCTCAAGACGAATGAGTGAGGAATGATTGTGGCGGCAAGATAAGTGGCTTGAGGACTACATATCCTCTGTAGCTGACTAGGGTATTTGATGTGATACCACGTCTTGCTGCAAGCCACGTTCGAAGCAATGGTACGGAGATGTATGAGACCGATCTAGAATGACGTTTTGCTCAAAGATAGCACTGTGGGTGTGTAATCCTTCAAGAGAAAAAGAAACAACCAAGAAGACCTGGGACCTGCATTTGTGGGAACGAACCGGCTTAACATACAGCATCATTATGTTGAGCGACTTTGGTTGACTATCATTGTAGTACATGCAGGGCGGCCCATCCAGGTCGTCGTCTCCTGTTAGACTGTCAATGGCGGCCTTCTCCGCCCTTAAGCATGCTTTGGAGATGTATCGAAAACTCTAATTCGCCGGCTGGGGCGAATCCGATGCTCACTGGTGTTGTCACTTATAGGGCCGCGCTGCGGGGGACGTTTGCTAGCGTGCCGCGGATGTTGGGCTCCGCTCCGGGGCCTTCTCCGATGATCTTACGTCCATCTCATCTTGCATGGCAATGTATGCATGTCAATGAATATGCGCGGATGCGAAACGATTGATAGCGGGGAGTGTGGGTGGTGGGGGAGGGTTACAGATAGCGCCAGGTACACAACGCGCGTAGACAAAAGGGGAAGTGAAGCAATTTCCCCGACGCTTGGGCCTCTAGGTTCCGAACTTCATCGCAAACACGACCCTGGCACAAAGTAGCAAGCACAAACGGCGACCGAAAAAGGAACCACACCTTCATCGTAGGAGCTGGGTCTCGACGTTGCTGTCTTGTGCGACGCACACCAACAGTTTCGTCATCGCGACGCGCATTCGTATCCGGGTACCTGATCAACACCCATCCGCACAGTGTACCACATTCGGACAATCAGCTAGTGGCGCCACGATCCCTTAAACACCAGAGCTGGCTTAGACAAACCATAATCGATCTCCTTGGGTAAAAGATTGCCTATTGCGTCTTACGCCCGACTCAGCCACTCTATCGTACCTGCTTACAGGGCCACGGTTACCACGGGCCCTAGCCATCTCGAATCTTGCATCTCCGGGTCTCGTGACATCGACTTGCGATCAAGTCACAAAAAGCAATTATGCCACCCTCACTTCGTCGCCGAGGTGGCCGGGTCCAGCAGCAACATCACATGCCCCCACCTTCACCCCCAGAAGCAGATGACACGGATAGCGATGTGGAACTGGACGGCCACCGCCAAGAAGAAGAAGACCAAGATCTCGATGGTAACGATGATGACGAAACACTCGGCGACGACCTAGCAGGGCTCGCAGGCGAAGAGGAAGACGAAGAGGAGGAAGGCGACGAAGAACTAGATGACGAAGAGGGTGATGGTTTTGGTTCGCCAAACCACGCCGGCGACACTCCATTACCCAATCTCGATCCTCCACCACCATACCTCCGGGAAATATCTACCTTGGCTTCCTGGACCGTTTCGTCTTCTAAACCGGGTTGTTCGATACCTCAGCTTCGGCATCCAAATACGAATCTATTTTGGCAATCCGATGGTCCGCAGCCACACTACCTCAATATACACTTCTTCAAGCTCGTTCGTATAGTTGGTCTTAGACTGTACCTAGACTTTGAACAAGATGAGAGCTATACGCCGACTAAGATCATTTTCTTAGCAGGCAGCGGTTTGAACGATCTCCAGGAGTGGGGCGAAATGAGATTGGAGAGCCCGAGAGGATGGATATGGGCGGACTTTTCCGGTGTAGGAGATCCGGATAGCGACGATGATGGAGATGACGACGAAGAAAATAATGAAGGAGGCACTACTACAGGTCACCGACCACAACGTCTCCTGACGGAAGCCTACACTCTAAACGGAACGAGAAGGAGTGGAAACGACGCTGCATCTTCTGATTCTGAAAACGCGGCGCCGACTCAAGAGGCTGATGTCACGGACCTGGATCTGGAGACGCCGATTCATCAACAACAGCAGCAGCATACACCATTTCCTCCTTATCCCGCCACTACACACGGCCATCCACAAATAACACCCCAAACTGTTCCACCATCTCACAACCACAACCTCCGTCATTACAATCACACCGTCACACCAATTCAACATCAACCATCAACACCTTCGCTCCCCCAAACCATATCGCGTCCCCACCCCAGAGCGCCTTTCGCATCTCTCTCCCCTAACCCCCAACCTCGCCCCATCCCGTCTTCCACCCAATCAACCCCTAAGTTGCCAGTTTTGCGCGCTCATCTCGTGCAGATCAAGATATTAGAGAATCATCAGAACGGTAAGGATACGCATTTAAGGGGCTTGCAGATATTCGCTAGGAACGACGAGGATGGGTATAAAGCAGGAGGACATGGTGCGAGCAGTAATGTCACGAAGGGAGTCACGAGTGGAGCACAAGGAATGGAGCTGTTGAAGAGGGAAAAGAAAGAAAAGAAAAGGAGAGAGGAAGTGTTGGAGTTGGGTGGTGGCATCATGGGTATGGGTTTGGGGAGTGAGGGGGTTCTTCGTTAATATTGAGTCGTCCAATCAGCTACTCTGGAGCAAAATGGAAGAGAAACACAGGGTCAACATGGCGGTATGCATGTAAGCGGCACCATCAATCATAATACTCACAATGGAGGATGTGAAAATCTTGAAATATCGTGATAAATAAATTAAACATCCTAGCTGCGCCATCCACCCAAGCCTTCCTTCCTTCCTTTCCATTCGTCATCCTTTACCTCATGGGATATATCCTTCTGACTTTTAGTGTGTCCTGATACATTTTCCTCCAAGCAGACTCGCGCCCGGATATCTCGAGATTCTATACAGAGCGCCTAAGGAAATGTGTTCGAACCCTAAATTGGAGAGGTGCGGCCGAAAACGGCGCACCACTGATCATCTGTTGCTTATTTGCTGATTACCGCCCCAGAGAAACTTCTTTATCTAGAAAAGACCCTTGCCATCCTTCTTGTCAAGGGTGTTCTTGAGGTCCTTTGGCTCAGGCTCCTGCTCAGGCTTAGCCACCTGTTCGTCGGTCTGACCGTTCTTGCCGTTCTTCTTGTTCTGCTTGCGAGGCAGCTTGCTAGGGCTGCGATTCCGGTCGGCGTTCTCCTTGGCCTTCTCTGCCTCCTTAACGTCCTCCTCGTTATCTTCGTAAGCCTGCTCGACCTTTTCACCTGCAGCCTCGGCCTTGCCAACCAGCTCCTTGGCAATCTGCCTAGCCTTCTTGCTTGTAGCATCGGCACCCTCGTCGAGTTCCTGGAGCTTTTGGCTGACGCGGCGGTTGATGTTCTCGAGGAACTTTTGGTTGGCCGGGCTCATGCTACCCTTTCGCTCGTCCTTGATGTGGCCGTTGGTGGGCTTCCTTCCGCGAACAGCGTCCCTAGCCCTGTTCACACCTGAGGAGATGGCGTCTTCAGCGGACTTGTCAAGGGAGTCGAGCTCGCGCTCCACGCTGCGGCTGGCGTCACCAGCTGCGTCGGAGATTGTGCGAGGCTTGAAGTCCTTCTTGGCGTTAGGCGAGGAGCGGCGCAGGTAGGATTTGAAGAAGAAGCGCATGAAGAGGATGGTGAGCGGTGCGAGGTAGATCAGATTGACGTAGATGGCGAAAGCTTGGCCGGAGGTGTCGACGCAAGGAACGGTCTGGTACTCAGTGCGGTAGAAGGTCTTCTCGACTGTCTCGTGAGGGTGGAAGAAGTCATGGACCGCGTTGTGGGTAGGAACAGGCTCTCCAGCAATGACTTGCTGCTGCTGGCGAACCGGAATAGGCTGACCAGGGACGGGGATGTTCTCAGCGAGACCTTCGTCACCAGCTGCGCGGTAAATTAGCTTCCTGAGGAAGGCTACAGCAACACCGGTCGCGGTGGGGAGGGCTTCAGCAACCGATTCAGTAGCAGAGGCAACTGCGGATGAGACGGAGGACGAGACGACCTTGGGAGCAACCTTCTCAGCGACCTTGTATGCGACCGAAACGGGGACGGTGTAGGAGACGAAGAGGTGGATGGCGGCGAAAGCGGATCCAACAAGGAATTGGGTGATTTGAAGCGTGGTAAGGGTTCGCTTGACGACGTTGGGGACGCGGTAGCCGAGGGCTGAGACGGTGTAGTAGGTGTACTGAATTCGTTAGTTAAAATCAGGTAGATTGGAGAAAGACTGCTTACCATCATGGCGTGGATGCCAGAGTTGACCAGGGCGAACATCCAAATGGGAGGTGACATGAAGCGCATACCAGCCCACATGGACAACATAGCACCGGCGTGGTGGTACTTCTGGAGAGTGGTGCTGCGCTTGCCCTTGGCCAGAATGATAGCCGTGTCAAGGACCTCGTAGAACTTGGAGAGGTAGAACCACCAGCCCCAGAAAGCAAGACCCTCGTTCCAGATTCTGCCAACATCCGTCTGGTCTGGCAGGCCACTAGGGCCTACAAGAACATTAGAGTTCAGGCTGCTCCAGACATCGTTGGTGTTGTTGTAGGTGACAGCGTCGCCGAGTCCGCGGGGACCGTGGATCTTGCAAAGTGCGTCAATGGTACCGACAACGGCGTTGGGCTCGCTGTAGTGGGGGAAAGAGTGCTTGAGGCAGCGGATCATGGCGACGCAAGTAATGGCCGAGTAGACAGCCAGGAAGACATTGTGGAAGATGACAAAGGCGTAGAATGGGCGGGTTTTGGCGATCCTCCACGGCTTGTTACCGTGTTGGCGGTTGTACCAGTTGACATAGGTGACGGTGACGAAGTAGACGGAGGCAATGGTCAGGGGCACCTTGTACGACAACGCGCCCTGGTAGATGTCTTCGGGGATCGGGAAAGGGTTCGCAAACGTCGACTCGCCAGTCCATGGGGGAGGAATGGGCAAGGGAGCGGCATCGGGAGGGAACTGCAGAACAGCCCTCGACGGCCAGTCGCCGGGGTGGAGAGAGGGGCCTGCACCAGACATGGTAGATGTTCAGGTGGTCGCGAAGATGCGCGGTTGTTGGCAGCACTCGGTCGAGGGTGGGTGCTGTTCGCGAGGCAGGCGCAATCGAGGTGCGGCGGAGTGAAAGGGTCCGGGGACCGCTGGGCTTTTTTCTGTGGTTCCGTGAGGTCAATGCCCAGCCGTTATGCCGCACTCGATAGCAAAAATCGGCCCTCGGATTTCTGGGCGTCCCTGTCGTCGGCGCAAATCTTGGACAGCTGTGTTGTTGTCGCTGGCCAGGCACGCGATGCACAGTCTGACTACACAAATTTGTCGGCGCACGAACCCAGGGCAAGGCGGACAAGTTATATTTGCAGAACAAGAGCACAGATATGCTCGGAGCGAGGACAAATTCAGCAGAGGTGCGTCGGACAAGGAGCTAGAAGCAGCAGGCAAAGGCTCTAGACAGTCCTTCTTGGTTATGATGAGGATTGCTAGCGTTGTGATGCAACCTGGTGGACTTTTTGGACGAATGACATCGCAACCAGCTGCCGAGGCGAATTGCTACAAACTCCCACTGGACAACGAGATCCTCGTGGATATCATCTAAAGAATACAGATTCTCGCAAGTCTAACGCCATCGAGTATCGCAGTAGACACGTCCCGTCTTTTCTACAAAAGACCCGTCTTTGCGCAGTGTTGGCGAGGTAATCGAAAGCAAGCATGCAAAATTTTGCAGGGATAAGTGAACCTGTTGGGGGTCCATTCCCGCATTTGGCAAGGTGACGTGGGTGCCCGAGCAGCCACATCTGGGGAACAGGTTTAGCAGGCTAGAAATACGACGACGCTGTTGCTGGTAATAATAGTGGTTGCTGGGTTTGAATTATATACAGGACTACAATGCAGAGAGCTACTCAAAACTTGGGCTTGCTACTCAGAGGAATTGGCGGAGGCTCAGCCGAACCTTCACTTAGTTCCTTCCTCTTTGGTGGAGGTGGAGGTGGTGCTTTCTTCCCAAGGCCTCCCGTCTGCGATGGGCCTTGCGATGGGGCTGGCGACGCGCTTGACGACGCCAGGCCGTTCACTCTACCAGCAATCCCATACTTTTGGTTGAGTGAGTTGGCGGACTTCCACCCAGACGCGACTTGATCCCCGTGCCGCTGCTGGAAATTGCTGGCAGTCGATGCCGCTCCTTTCAAGTCTGAAGCCGACACTTTTGAAGGGTCGTCACGCAGGTTGCTGGCAGTCTTAAGCGCTGCCTGCTTGTCTGCCCACGATGTGCCCGTGGTTGGCGGGGGTGCTGGTGACTTTGGCCCAGACATTCTTGCGAATCTACTCTGTAACTCGTTCATCTGTGAGCCATGCCCGGCTGCAGCTGGAGGTTGTGTGGCAGTGTCCGAGCTTGGGGCTCGTCGAGGAGGAACAGGTGGAGATGGGTTCGCGCGAGGTGGTACTGGAGGAGAAGCCGTTCGACCAATGCCGAAGCCTGAGACAGATACGCCTGCCTGCCCCAGACGACCCAGAGCGCCTTGGTTCAGGACTCCCTGCTCAGGTGCCGCTTCTCGTGTTGCCTCATTGTAGGTCGGTGGAGGAGCGGGCGCGAACTCATTAGGGTTCGAGTTTTGACGTGGCGGTAGTGGAGGACGAGGAGGTAGGCTGGGCTTGGGTTTTGTAGGAGCGCCGGTAGTCGTTGGCGAAGCGGCGCCTGGTCGGAAAGCTGGAGGCTTGGGTAGATGTGCCGTGCTCAACCCCGTCGTGTCAGGTCTGTATGGCCCTGGAGGCGGCCTGTTCGCTTCCTCTTCTGCTCTCCTCCTTGCTTCTTCCTTCTCCTGCAGCCTTTGCTTTGCCGATGCAGCAGGTGCAGAGGACGGTCCTGTCGAAGCGGATGCTGCCGAACCGCCGTTGTAGTCTAGTCGCTTGGGCGGCGGAGCAAATTGTGAGGGGTCTTTCAAGGACGATAGTGGCGTTGACTGGTGTTCGCGGGCCGCCTCTGCATGGGGGTCTTTACCTTGGGCTTTTCCAACCCATCCTTTCTATCCCTAGTTAATCGACGGGTTCATGCAGGCAAGGACAAGCTTACATACAACTTGCCCGAGCTTCGAGTCGCTCTGTCCACCTCCACTGCTCCCGCTGTTAGTGCGATTCTTTTCGGGATGCCAGCCTCCTTTGGTGATGCCCTTGAATTTGTCCATGTCCGTGTTAGCGGAAGAGTCTGGGGTTAGGCGTCGTGAATGTGCCAGCAGACAGTGGAGCCAACGCGTGCGGGCCGATGAGATCATCAGCCAAGCGCGTCTCTAGCACATGTCAGGTCCAGTCGGCACTTCGGGCGGACTAATGCGTCTGGCTGACATCCTGGAGAAGAGCTCATGCTGAACGTTGAATAGGTATCTTGGCCATTGTGGACGATGAGTCCGAGATGTGAGGTTTAACGTCTGTGCAATTCATGTTGAGTTGTAGAGAGGTTCAAGGCCGCCAGTCAGCAGCCGCCATACCTCTCTTGCGATACTCCAAGAGACACATACATACACCCGGACTTGGAGAATCTCCCGCACTGCAGCTGCAATGCATGTCTCAGTTCCATGTTTCAGCTCTCGTTAGCTGCATTTTGAGGGAGTTTTTGTGATAATACCATTCCCAAACGGTACATACTTGCAACTTCCAAGGCGAACAACTGCAGCTATAGCCTGTCACAGTCAGCCGTATTGATCCGGGCCTACTCCCCCGCCCAATCACTCCCCACAACAAAGACTTTCTCAAGAGATCTACATATCCAGCAAGTCGGATGTGCCGGCTGTTGTTTGTGAACATGTTTTGTTTGTTGACAGACATTCCATCGTAGAGAACACGAGAGTCACCAGGTCACGATATCAGCATTCCGCACAACGACAGACAAACGCTGTAAGAGTGAGCTCAGCACGCAGACACGGTTCCCCCATACTAAGCTTTGTTAGATCGACGGCTAGGACAGCTAGCCAAGCCTAAAAATACTATCAACCCGAGCAGGTGGGGTTTGTTCGTCTTATAGGCGTCGAGGCTGAGTCCGTCTCTCCAATGCCATCCCAGTATGTAACCAACCGCGCCGATTATTCCCAGCCGGCACTTCGGACTTACATTCTGTTGGCCTGAAAGCTTGCAGCACACATGTTGCTAGACAACGGGTAGCACGTCTGCGCCACCCCAGCCCTCGGCCAGCTCAAAGGACTACCCTCCCACTCCGTGTCCCTTTGCATTCTCCGCATTGCCTTTGAAGTGGTCAACTGCGTGCCACTTCATCGATTCCCAGGAATCTACCCAGCAGAAGGAACGATTGTTGCCTAAGGGTACATAGTGTGCTTTCCCGCGTCATCGATTGGAGTACCAAGGTCACGCCTAAACCCCGTCTCGGCCCCGCATCTCCTGCTACTGGCTAAGCAAGTGGAGGATCACCACCACAATTCAGCTCCCGCATCGGTCATATCTAGGTGTCAGGCATCTCCGTCAGATTGCTGTTTCCTTACTGGTTTCGAGCCTACCACACCACTGCGGTCTGTCCATACGTAGCTAGGAGCTGCTCTCGTCAGCGCATTGTCCAAGCCGCAATGGCTCCTCTAGAAGACGAGTGGGAAACGGATGGAGACGAGGGCGAGACGCCACCTTGGGTCACTGAAATTGAAGACATCGATTCTTCTACCACTGCTCTTCCGGAAATCGTGTTGAGTATTGTCATCGAACCACTACCGTACACTGTGACGGGGTCGACTACGCCGACGAGTAGTGCATTTGAATCTGGCTTCACTGGCATCATGCCCCCCTCAGGCAGACCTCCCATGCCCAGTGTACGGCCTTTGGGATATCCGTCAGATCGTCCATGGCCGCCGTATCAACAGCCCTCTTCAACCACAGAAAGCTGGCAGACTTCCACATCAGCAACGACTGCATATGCCGACCACATGGGCAGTTCGTCACTGTGGGCGACATCGACCTCAACATCGAATTTGAACTCCGAAGCATCGCAATCACTAACCAATCCATATGGAGGAAGGCCTTCAGACTGGAACTTTTCACAAAAACATGTCAACAATGCACCAATGTATGCCGCTGCCGCGGTAATCCCAATTGTCGTCCTCGCGATCATAGGCGGGGTAGCCCTAGTCTGTTTGCGCAAGCGCAAGAGACGGAAAGCCGAAGCAATAGCAGCGCAGACTGTCGCTCAAGAAATGAAGATGCAACCACAACCGAATGTGCGACCTTACATGGCACCACCACCAGGCTCACCACCGCCGCCAGCAATCTCTGTATCACGTAGCCCGCCCAACCACCTACTACCCCCAACGTCAACATCCAGCGCATTCCAACCCATCATCCTTGGGCCTATCGGCTCAGACTCTTCAAATGGCGCTTACCTCACTGGCATCGACACATCAGATATGGTGTCCATTACCTCCAACACTCACAGGCCTGTGGACAATCCGTTCTCAGACAACAATAGTCTTACTGAGCCGCCGCCGCCGTATAGACCGCATAGTGCTGCGCCGCCTAGCTTCACAACGAACTCGAGGCATAGCAGTTTGAGAGTAGGAGATTCGCAAACGAGGCTTATTGAAGGCGATCCGTTTGGTGATCCGGATGACGATTATATTTCGGACTTGTCAGGACCGACACAAGGCAGGGATGGGACAAGTGTTGTGTCGGACCTTTCTTATCAACGGTTCACATAATTGTCGCCATGTATCATTTGCTACTTTCTTTCTCGATGTATATAATACTTGCGAGATGTATGTCTAGTATCACTTCTCGGATCGTTTCCCTTTCCTCTTTCGTCAGGCGTTTGTCACAATATCGTATCAGGACTTCGTAATAGCATCATAGTGGTCATGGAATATATGAGCGACTTTATGAAAATCTGGGAACCTGATGCGAAACACTTTGACACCACTACCTCCATCTATGACGTAACCGGCACGTAGCCCAGAGTCGCTCATCTCGGCTACGCTGGGCCTAGAGCACAAGAGGTCTCGCGAGCAGTTCCTGAGACGGCCAAACTGCTCAACAATCCCACCCAGAATCCGATCCAATAAACTTACATGCTTGATCACCGGTAGATAGCGCAAAGCCACTTCCCCATCGTTCATGGCGCTGCGCTTACTTTACGCAGCAGGTGGTAAGGCAGTTTCTTGGAGCGCTTCCCGTTAGTCTGGGTAGTTTGGGTACAATGTTACCAATGACGGGCTCAGAATCCAGGCAGACGAAGAGTTGAGTGAAGTAAAGGGCGAACGGTACCTTGCATGGAGGGTGGGCGGCACTGCGCTAGGGGTGAACGGCTATCGAGATTCAGCTCAGATGTAGAGGGGTTTACTATCTTAAATCCGGAAAGTGCTGCTATCTATGGGCTTTTTTTCTCCGCAGGTTAAATCAAGCCAGTCTAGCCATGATGCGGGCCATGATTCGCCGGGAGCGGGCTACTTTTCCAGGTTCATGGGATTTGCATGATGACGGCTAGATTAATTATTCGGCGTCGCTTGCCAGCTGGCACTGGCGAGCAGTTTTGCCTTTGTTGCTTATTTTGCGGAGGTTGCTGCCCGATTCGTGAAGGAGGAGCAAGGAGTGCAGGATGCGATGCTTGGAACATCGTGGGTAGTTGCACGCTTGTCGAGGAGGTTGCAGAGGATAGTCGCGTGGTTGGACGAGCGCTGGGCCTCTGACTGGGTCGACGGGACAAGAAAGTCGGTTTAGCGTCGGCTTCTAGGCAAGACCTCAGCGTGGACCTGTCATTTCTACCCATCTCATCCTTACGGCACGCAGCACCCCAAGCCATGGTGCAGTTCGTTCCGTGTCCGTTCGCGACTTAGCTCATCGTTATGTACTCCTGGCCGAGCCTATCACCTTATTCGCTACTAGGTGCATCGGGTGGGTGAAGCTTCGCCTGGCTGGCTGGCCTGGCTGGCTGCGGCGACGACAAAGAGCCTCTCCCATGCTTCCTCCCTGCCCTTACCACCCAATTATGACAGCCTCGCTATATCGCCCTTCACGGCCCATGCGGGCTCGGTACCTGAGCTAGACGCTGCCGACGGCTCAGGAGAGTCTGGCTAAGCAACGTCGCTCGTGCCGCAACTGCGTGTTGCTCGTGCTGCTGCGGGTCACGATCGGTACTATCAATTATTCATCTTTGCCGAACTACAACCTTTGCAACTGCAGCTTCAGTTTCCCCGGCCCCACTGCCCTGCCTAGTACGTGAAGAAACCTTTCACCGTCCCTGCTCACTGCAAAGCGTTACAGCGTGAGCAGACCGAAGCCTGCAGGACCCTCTTCACAACTGCGCTGTGCCTACGCCCCCTCGTCCGGTACCTGCATCTTCAACGTCTCACCACGCTGCCATAACCCCTGCTGCTACTACTACTACTACTGCCACTACTGGATTGTACTACCCAACAGGTATCACAGCTACATCGTCTATCTGGCAGCCTTTGCCCTCTGCCGCCCGCCAACAAAGAAGTCCAAAGACGTCCCAGCCAGGGCGCCTTTGTCTTTCGATCCAACCCCCGCCGAACGCCTCCCTCGAACCCGTCGACGACGTCTTATATTACACGCTACATGGTCTGTAGGGCAGGGCATTGTGTCAGGACTTTGCGTCATTGGGTTTGCTATGAGTTTGGATCAGCACATTTATGGGTACGACTTTCTTCCACGTTCCCATGTTCGGAACATGTACACTGTCTCCGCTGGCGCAACGAGCTTCATGGTGCACTATTCCCGTCGTCGGTGGCTTCTCTGCCAGGCTATGTCGGACCAGACATGACTATCAGACAGACTATGTCCAATGAAGGTCTAGGGTTAGGCAGAGGGCAGGCAACACCGCACGGTTGTCATTTGGAGCTCGTTGCATCATCCCTTGCCATGCTTCCCATCCTGTGCCAAAGATACTTTTCTTTAGACTCCCTTCCAATCCGTTCATAGATTGCACTTTTGGTTTTCCTCATGTCTCGGCTCGCAGCTGCAAGTGCCCCAGGCTAACGTGGGTCGCGTGCTAGATCGACGGACTGGCATCTACCAAGTCCATCCTCCACACCCAAATCGGTGACGTTCCCTGACGGAAGTCTCAAAACACCCAAGACTGAGACGTTTCCTCACTCGCACTTCCTCGACGCCTGGGCCACTCCACTACCTAATGGGCAGCACACCCCTGTGCAAACGCCCTCCTTCACACTGTCGACGCCTCTAGGTCGGCCGTCGAGCTCGTATAGCCAGCCCGTCCGCACACCCGAAGACCCAGAGTTCCATGTCAACCACTTCGCTCCTCAAAATTTACCTCTTCCGCCGGTCGACGCTTCCCGAAGACTGTCGTCGTCGCCCGACCCTAATCGGCTGAGGAAGGTTGGCTCACAAGGACAGTTTGGGTCACGCCCTGTCAGTATGGACTTTTCACACATGCAAACGCCACCTCCAACGAGGGACGCTTCGTCTAGGAGGAGCGTGCAACAAAGTGGCGGAACTGAGGTAGCCACTCCAGCTACTGTGGTGCATAGAACGCCCAGCCAATTGCCGGAATCATCAGGCGGACTTTTCAACCAGACTCCGTATGGTTTCGCCGACTTGCAGTACACTCCGCACATGATGCAGTTTCCCAGCCATGGGCCAATGTCTGCGCCGCCTATGCCTCAATCAAAGCTGTTCTGGGATCCAGCTAACGATGGCATGCAAATGGATCTAGATGTACCGCTAGGCGTTGATCCCTTTGGTCCTACCCCACATAGGCCACAGCACGATATGAACTGGCAGGCGATGAATCAAGCTAACATGATGCAAACGCCGGCATTCCAAAGCTTTCAAGCGTCTCCCATGCCAGCGTCTTTTGCAAATACACCATCACAGAGACAAGGTTCAAGACCTGGCTCGTTCGTGTATACGTCTGCTGGTGTTGACCCCAACATGCTGCTCAGCTTCTCGAATCCCGACATGACTTCTTCTTTTGGGAACATGCCAGATCATCCCTTTCTGGACATGTCACGGCAACCGTACGAGACACAATTGCGCGATGCACAAAACGAGAGGGAGATGGCGAAGAAGTCAAGGAGCCAGCATTCGCGCAGCAACACAGCTTCTTCAACCGGATCGGCAGAGAACGCCAAACCTGTACTGCAGCGAAGCAATACAGACGGTGGAATAATGGCAGCCAAATCACTTGCGATGGATCCTCGGACATCAATTCCAGCCAATGCATCAACGATACCCCGTCGTTCATCACCGCTGAAGCGTCAAGGCGGCGGAGCGCTCAAATCGATACCGGAGCTGAGAAGACCTCGGACAAGACTCATCATCGACGAGACAGGTCGAGCTCGGACAGAGACTGTGCATGCTGGAGATGACGAAGAGACTCCCAAGAATAAGCGGCAGACATCTCAGCAAGATCTTAGACGCCAATATCCTGGGCTTTATGAGGATGATGAAAGCGAATCTGAAGACGACGAGCCGGCTCCGGTCATCAGTCGGAACTCTTCTTTCGCCATACCACAACCTGAACGCCGAGCTGCGAAACACGCTCGAGCAGATAGCGGCGGACTCGAAAGACCCGCTTCCTTCAAGATGGCACGATCCGTCTCTGCCTCAAGGGTTGCACCTGATGCTCTCTCCAAGGCCTCATTTGAGCTTCTTAGATCCACGCGGAGGTCCGCCACCGACAATAACACCACCCGTCGATTCAGCGCAATGGAACGTCCTATGTCTTCCGCTCACCCCGAGGACCACCACATGCCCGACTCCCCCGGCGACGCCCTAGGTGCCCTGAAAAAGGTCGTAGGCGCTCGCCAACAACGCATTGGTAGGATAGCCACGCGCTGATTCTACACTCTTGTTACTGACAAGTTCAGAACGTGCGTCTCAAAATACACTTCTTGCTCACAACCAGCGTTGGGCTCAAGCCTCAGCCGACATATCCAACCTGTCAACTACAAATCTACCTCATAATCACAACTACGACCCTTACTCTAACTCCTTCAACCACTCCCCATCTACCACCACCACGCCATCAACCGAGTGTAGTGCTCGGTCAAACGATAGCACACGTTGTGTTTGTGAGGGTATGGTGGAAGATGAGGGAATGCCGATGGTGCAGTGTGAGGCTTGCAACAAGTGGTTGCATCTTGGTTGTGTAGGAATGAGGGAGGAGTGGTTACCCAAGGTTTTTGTGTGTGTATTCTGCACAGGGACAGATGGGTTGGGCAGGGTAATGAGACGAGGAGGAGCTGGAGATTCGCCGTTAAAGAACAAGAGGGGTTTTAGGTGAGGTCGGTGCGTTGGAATGGAGTGTCACGCTTATGGTGGTGATGGACGGGTCGTTGTGGCTCGGATAACTTTTCGCAATGCATTGATGTGAGGCTAGATCGAAGTGCTTGCTGTGCAAGCTTTTCGAGGGGCTGGAGTATGAGAATAATGACATGTATGATGTTGAGATGACATACTTTTCTGGTATCTGACATGACGGGAGTTTGTTGAATTGTACACTATACGCCTTTACTACATCATGTATGCCAGGTGCACAGCATTCATATAGGCTTTGAGGACCTCGGGTAGTGTACGGGTGGTGAGCTTTTCCGACCACTTCAGCTTCTGCAACTTACGGTCCTAGATAGGCCTCATTATCTGCTGGTACTTAAAGTAGTAGAAACATCTTGAATCGTTGTAGTTGAAAGTTCCTGTATCATCCCATCACGGAACTAGTGGTTGATGAAGACACGTCTCGGAAGCATGTAACGTGTACAGTTTCTTCCCTTTGGAAGTCTTCACGCCATGTGACAAAATAGTGGTCTCCAATAATAGATATTCTTGATACCTCTTGCTCCCTTACAGTGCCATCACCAAGAGTAGCGGTAAAGCTCATCATGACAATCACTTTGTGAGCTTAGAGGTTAATTAAGCATGACGACTACTTTGGTAGAACCGCAATGTTGCCTATCTCCATGTCAACGAGATCGGATATACATATATGACCATCATGGGCATTTTACTGTTTCGTTAACACAAAATTGGACTACGGATATGCGCAACTTCAGATTTATTTCTGTCGGGATGTGACTACCTAGGCATCTCCAGCGTCATACGAGCTATCTATAGGATCATCTTGTTATCTTTTGGACCTCTCGTTTAGTTCGCGAAACGTGAGCGCTTTCTCCTGGTGCTCTCATGATCCGCCATTTTCGGACCTGTCGGTGTGACGTTCCTTTTGTCACTTCGCTGTGAATTTGAATGTATAGGCCAGGTTAGAGCCTACAATACTACAAAGTCAGAGCAGAAGTTATATCAATAGCTCGCATGCATTGACCACTGCTACAGATAGGGGGCAAGTGATAGAAGTCGCCGACACATGTAAGGCTGATGATCCTTCGCGATAGGCGTAAACTGGGGTGAGGATTGACACGGTAGCCCCACTCTTGGCTTAACCTTCGTACTTCGTACACCCAGTCTCATCCCTTCCATTCTCGGTCCGTCTCGTCTTCATTTCGGCAATTAAGCAATTACCAGATGCTTCAACTCTCAAAGGTCACACCGCGCTTGCCGTTCCGCAGTTGCTTAATCCATTGTGTCGATTACCTATGGTACTTGGGTAAAGTGGGAGGCTGCAAAAACACTAACAGGTTCATGCTTTATCTGCAGCAGCTATTGCTGCATACTGATTTAGCTCCGATAGGCAGGTGTCTCTTTTGGTAGAAGCACAAGCACATGATTGGCTTGATGCGTCCTCTCTGCCATCTCGGCGTACGACGCGTCTCTTGGATCACTTCGGCGGTACCTGATCGTCCGCATCTACGTTGCACTTCTGGAATGTACAAATACCCCATCGACCCAACAATGCGCACCCGCCTCAAGGCCTGGCTTCTGCGGATCGATCTCAACAACAGTGCCAGTTGCCATGAAGACGATTCTCGTACTTGCGGCATACCTGCTTGCCCGTGGAACGTGCGCGTGCGTTCCCGACTTTGCGGACAAGATACTGTCTGATCCGCTTATACTCCAACATCCGGCAGTGATTGCTGCATTCAAACAAGTGCAGCAGAATCTCTCGTCGCTATACATTGACACTACCTGTGATGGACTCAGCTTCGCCGTCGTATGTACTAGGTTAGCTATACCAAAAGATAGGTTGCTCACATACGAAAGGTTCATGCGTCAAGCCCAGAGCCAGCCTACACGTTCAACAACGGAACGCTGAAGTTCAATGAGACTGATCTCGCCCCCGCTGGAGCGAATGAAGTGACCAGCGATTCTATCTTCCGCTTGATTTCCGTTTCGAAAAACGTCGCAATGGCATCCGCTCTAGTTATCGAGAACCAACTGAGACGAAATTCATCTTCGTCCTCATCGCTCCTTACCATTGACACGCCCGTTCGTCAACTACTTCCCTCGTTCGCTCTGCCAGAGAATGACTGGAACAATGGCGGCAGTGAGATAACACTCCGTATGCTTGCAAGTCATACAGCAGGAATCCCGAGAGAAAGCTATAGTACTGGCTTCAACATGATTCTCAGTACCGGTAAAGCGGATGCGCCTACTATTGGATCGGCCTGGGCAGGCGAAAGCGCGCAGAATGTTATCGACGGAATCGCGACAAGGAATTTGATGTTCGCACCAGGACAGAGAGCTGCTTACTCCAATGCTGGACTGGGACTTCTGGGTGCCGCTGTCGCCGCTTACTACAATAATGTGACTTCTTCCTCTCTGACCTGGTCCGAGCTTGCGACTCAAGAACTGCTGTTGAGCCTGAATATGACGCATAGCTTTTTTGGAACCATTCCACAAGATCACCACCCAGATGTGGGTATCCCAGGCGGTGACAACTGGGCCGATCTGATCATAGGCGAGGGCTATGATCCAGCAGCCGGCATGTGGAGCTCCGCAAACGACCTCGCCAGTTATCTATATAATCTATGGCTTACTCCCGAACCCACGCTTATTACGCTGTTCCAGCGTCGCCAAGTCATGAAACCAAGTGTCATCCTTCCAGACGGCAAACAGCAAAGCGGCCCAGGATGGGAGATCGAGATCTTGTCGTTGCCGACGAGTGAAAATGCCAGTCTGGCAGAAGAAAGTAAAAAGACATACAGCATCTTCGGAAAGTCTGGTGACGGTGGAGGCTGGCATAGCTGGATTGACAATATACCAAACCTTGGATATGGTATTATCGTGTTAGCGCAGCAATCTGGCCTGGCGGAATATACAGGAATATCGACGAGCATGATCAGGGCAGCTATGCATGACATCCTTGCGCCTGCGTTTGCGGAAGCGTTGAGCGAGAGAACAAAGGAGCGATACGCAGGGTTCTATAATGCTGGCGAAGACACTGGACTAATCACTGATCAAGTTGGCGCTGCTCTCTCAAACTCCTCCTCAACGTATGCAGATCTCGTGGTTCAAGACCAGATCCTATACCTCCGCTCCTTGATTGTGAACGGTTCATCGGCGCTTGAGGCTATAGACCGTCTGTCCTGGACTGCCGATGCACAGCCACGCTACTTCTCCACCCCCCAGGGTGTTGTTTTAGAGCCGGCTGAAGGCGTAGGCGAGGCAAATGAATTTGGACCTGGAGCGCAGGTTTGGAGGATGATCTTTCCAGGACTAGAGACTTGCGATTGGTTTGACTTCGACGGCTATCAAGACAACAATGGATGGCCTGTGAGCAAGGTCGTCCTACTTGAGACAAATGCGGGAGTTGAGTTGCATTACCCGCCATTCGACATTGTGGTGAGTCGGATGAGGATACACAAGTAGAAGGCCTCGCCGACATGTCCTGCGGGTACCTGGCTGCGAGTCGGTGCAAGGATGAGGCCCTGTCATTAAGTTAGTTATCCGCTTTCGGCATAGTGCTTGTTGTCACGCGAGGATCCGATCCGTCTTATCGTCTAATGTCTCCCTCGAACACCACTCAACGTCTAGATCAACAACTTCCACTGTTAGCATACAACACCAATCACCGCCTCATGAGTTTTTTCAATGCAAGAATTCAAAATCAACCCCATACATTTGACTGCCCTCTACACACAACCCAGCTCCACAAACTGACAGGCCTATCGACATGGATACTCATACCGCCCACGCTCGTGCTATTATCGACAATTTCCACAGAAATGTAGCTGAAGCAGAAAGACAACAGCGCCAGCTCCAGACTAGAGAGAGTGAGCAGGAATTCTACGACATGTACAGTCCATGTAACCCTTCGTCGACTTTTCACGATCTTCAGTGTGGCCATCGGATTCAGACTGAGTACACTGCAAGCTGTGGCGTGACCTGTGTGCATCCCATGCAAGGCCAGCCGTTCGCATGCCCGAGTTGTCTGATTGATGTAGTACGTGCGGAAGTAGCCCTAGACAGTCTTACTCTTGGATCCAGTAATGACACTCCCATGGAGGGTATCGAGTCGATTGAGGACAGAATACAGCACTTCGCCAACAAGTACGTCGCGGCAATGTTGAGGAAGGATTACCGGGGATGTAAAGCAGCTTCCAAAATCGACGAACCTCGCATGCAGTTCTTCGACCAATTCATGCGACAAGATGGCTTTGGAGGAGTGGAAGATGCGCCTTCTGATGAAAAGATAACGAAGCCTCGAAAACGTCCCGGTACGGCGGTCCATAAGAACCTAGCCAAGGTGAATAAGCCATATCGAAAGCAACCCGGCAGATGGGATTATCGTGATCCGACATCAAACGATGGAGTCTCTAAAGCCGTGTTACGCAAGATTCCGGGTGACGATGAGGCAGAGGACACAGATATAAGCCAAGGAATAGTAGGCGACGCTATAGGAGTAGGGCGTTCAGAACAGTCCGCTGACGCTGGTGTCGATCTTGTTCCGCAGAAAGAAGCAACCGAGGCTGTACGAAAGGCCATGGAGGCGTTCGCCTTACTTTCGACCTAGTGAACAACCAGCACACATATGTCGTTCATAATATAGCCACAAGAGAACCACGACCATGCTGTGAGCCATGCCGCATACCAGCGAACTATCATCTTAAGGTAGTCATTACTGTGTGATGTCGCGCGTTGTTGCCGGAAGTGCATCAGCTAGAGAACGCATCAACGCTGGGGAAAACTCAGAAGCCTCCATAGATGCTATGTCGAAAAGGGGCGCGAGCAAGATATGGCAAGCCGAAGTAAAATCTGCGTCCTTGTCTGGGCGTACAGGCCTATGCGCCGTGATGATGTCAGTTTTGGTCAATACCTAGGTAGATTCAATCCATTCCCACAATCTTCAATACATCGCTCAATCATAACCAACACGCACGTCCATCCATCTTTCCGAACCTTACAGCAGATACCGACTCTTTACTATGATCTGTCGCCGAGTTTGCGCGGGTCACTTCTCGTCACGAGCACATACCAGTCGCGTAGCTGCAGATCCCTAAAAATTGAGTTTTGACATGGTAAGTCCCACAGGAAGCGCAACCTTATAGATAAGGTGCAAAACTTCCCGGGTTAAGACGACATAGCAGCAGCCGTTCGTTGGTCTCTGTAGGGCCTTTTGTGGGGCCTAGTAGGTTTGAAGTGTTGCTATCGAGACATCAAGTAGCCTTGGCCTGGGTCTACCACGAGTAAGTGGTAGTAGCCCTCATAGGGCGACTGAGTCTTTTGGTGCCTATGCCAATTGGAAATATTGCGATCTCAGATTTTTCGTCCATTGCGAAAATCTCGCCTGATGTGGTTGTGCATCATACTGTCTATTCGATGGAGCTTCCCATGGTTGCAAATCCCCTTCATGATCGCCAGGGTCTTGCCTCAATACTGGGGTGTCAATCCACTTCAGCCCACGTGCACTCGACACGCCAACACTGAACATGAATACGTTCAAATCCAAACGTGCAGTGTGGGTCATTGATGATTCGATGCAGCATTTGAAACACAGTCGCGTTGAATGCCCTTTGCCATCAACGCGAAACCGAAGTCAGGGTCATCCGCGACGAACGACTACCAGCCGTTATTCAGTGGAGTCGTTGCAGATCGGCAGACACGGGAAGTATTGAAAGCTTCTAGCTCGACTAGGTGGCATCGGCAATCCTACCCCAAGAGTCGCTTCTCAAGCCCCCCATACGCTCGCGTGGATCATTTACCGTTATAGCGGGTCGTGTACATTCCCAAACACCTGCGACAGCGACACTAACAAGCTTTCATGTTACACATGCCACGTGTGCGATCGATGCTTTCCGCACTCATGAAGATCGATGGTTAGCGCCGAGCAGTGCACGACGCTCCGCGGTCGAACGTAGGCATCAAGTACATTCCTTGATGTGCACCTTCGGGATTCTACAGCACAATTGCGCGGTCTACACACAGGAGTGTTACGACGTGGTGAGCACTTCGAAGCTGACTGTACATGGCTCAACGCTTCAGCGCACCCGATGTTCACCGCAACTGCTGTGGATGCCTCAACAGACGAAACCTAATTATGGCTGCAATCGGCGAAATCGTCAATGTACGCCATACATGCTTAGGTGCAGCGGCAGCGTGGCGTGAGTTTCTCCCCTGGTGTTTGGACTAGAGGTGTGCGGGAAGACCTGGTCCCCACTTACCACTAGCACGATCAGGTCTTGGGCCTCTCTCTGACTGGCGTATACATGTGCCTCATATCCCGGTGGCTCTCTCTGTTTGCGGTGGCCGTTCCTTACCTCACTCATCCTGACAGCCGTACCTGACAGCCGTATCTGGCACCACGGCGGTATACCCTAATATGGACGTGAACGTTTTGGGATCACATGCCAGCCGGCTTGTTGCTCGAGCTGGTGGTCTACACCCTCCACCAGAAGTTCTCCTCAGTTGGCCCAAACCAAATTATGTCGACCCAGAAGAAAGAGGTTGGGGGACACCGATCGTGCTCATGGTGTTCTTGGGTATATCCTTCCTCGTATACTGCGCGCGGATGTGGGCAAGACTGGCTATATCAAAGAACACTGGACTAGACGATATACTGGTGAGCATAGCAATCCTGCCGCTATTTGGTTTGACTATTTCCACTGTACTCGGTAAGCATTACCTCACCTCCACATTAATATTACTGACTGGCAAAGGCATTCGCATCTATGGCTTTCAATGGCACGTCTGGGACCAGACAAGGGAGACTTTAGTCACGACACGAGAAGTAGGCTTGTATGTTCTGCTGTATCTGAAGGTATGCTGACGTATCAGATCGCCATGGCAATCGAACTCAACTACATGTTATCGACAACGTTGGTCAAGGTATCAATCCTCTGCTTTTACCGCCGTATCGGCGATCGTCTCACAAACCAGTTCATCTACTGTAAGTGAACACAAGCAACCGACATGGTATACTCAAGTACTGACATGTCACCACAGGGGTCTATGGTACCATCGTTTTCTGCATCGTCTACGGAATCGTCTTTACCTTCGCCATCGTCTTCACATGTACACCAGTAGTGGGATTCTTCCGCCTCTTCGACATCGCCTGGAGACTGCAGAACGAATTGACATGCCGCAACGAGGGTGCCCTGATTGTCGCATGCGCAGCTATCTCGTCCGTACAAGATTTCATCATCTGCATGCTACCAATACTTTTGATTTGGAACCTGAAGATTGGCAAGCGTCAGAAAATGGGGTTGTGCGCCATCTTTGGCTTGGGAATGATAACATGTATCTGTGGTATTCTGCGCACGTTCTACGCCACAAAGCTTTACTACTGTAAGATCGTCACTCCATCCCAAGATAAAACAAGAAAAACTAATTGATCAACCAGTCACCTACGATATCACCTGGACAGCATACTCTGGTTGGGTTTGGACAACACTCGAAGCCCAACTAGCTGTCATCTGCGCCTCAGTTCCCTCACTCAAGGTCTTCTTCATCCGCTACTTTGGCACAGATACCACAAGGGCTGGATACTCTCAGACCGGCACACCAAGCAAGTCCTTTGGCCCGTCGTCAAAAACAAGGTCCGTTGGATTTGACGCGAAAATATCCCAGCACTCAGCGCAGCGTTCGCAATGCACTGCTGGTTCGATTCGCGACGACGTCCCGCTGGAGGGCATTCATATCAATCATAAGTTGGATGTCAAGGTAGAAGAAAGGGATGATTGTAGTCAAGTCAGCTTCGCCAGTACGAAGGCCCTCACCGCTTTACCAATGCCGACGCAGCCAGGGTGGCGGGGAAGGGCAGATTGGGTCGATGGCTGCAGGACGGTCTGCGCGGCGCTCCGTCCTGGTAGCAGAGGCACGTCAGGGAGTCGCAGCCGGACTCGTGAGGGTGACGTCGAGGCTGGCAGCGCATTCTGAACATGACTTAGACGCCCAGCAATCACACACCCGCTGCGATGGATAACACAGGGGCCCATAGCCAGAGGCTTGTATGTTTGTTCTGCCTCGTTCTGGATTTTTGCATTTACGCGGTTTAGATTTCCACATCTCCTCTTTTCTTTGACATGGATCGCACAGGATATATACCCATTCTTTTTTATACGGCGCTGGCGGCATCATTGAAAGACTAGAAGCACTTTGGTATATAGGTATCGAATTATGTTCCAGCATTTTTGTCCAAGGACACTATTTACAATCACTACACTCTTGGCTATCTTCTCATACGATCATTCCACATCAGTAATTCTGGTATTCTACTCCAACAACGCCTTCCTTACAGCCTCAACCTCGTCCTTGTTCCCACAAATCAAGCCACCCCTCTCATCCGTGTCCTCAACTGGCGTCTCCAACACCCTCTTCCCCGTTGCAGAATCCAAAGCCGCACCGCCCGCACACTCCATGATTAGCGCAATGGGTGCCAACTCGTAAAGTCGCCTTAGCTTAGCTTTACTCTGTGCTGTCACCGGAGATACATAAACACCATGGCCTTTAACCAACGCATGCACAACATCCGGAACAAGCCCACCACTATACCGCAAAGTGTATTTTTGGGTAATATAACGGTTGATGAGATTGAGGTACCGTTGGTCTTCGGCCGCTGCGCGCATATTTGCAGGAGCAAAATACCGGGTTTTCACTTCAGAAGCTTGTGTCAATTTGACTTCTGGACGAATGACTTGCATACTTCCGTCGTCCGCGTACCCGACTTCAAAACACGATCCTTCAGTACCTGGTAGACGGATGGCGACAACAGCGGTTGTACGTGGGCCCAGCACACCCAGTATAGAAGCGATTTGTTTATCATTAGGGGATTGGTGAAGGGCTGAGGCACCTTCCCAGACTCCAATGATGGTGCCTACACTCCAGTTTGGCGCGATGATTGAGGAGCCGTCCAAGGGGTCGAAACCTAGTGTGTAGACTTCTTTTCCTTGATTTCCGCTTCTACTAACGGACTCTGAGGATTTCTCTACGGGATCTTCCTCGCTAGATGCTGTGACTATGGATGGACAGGAGGAGATGGTCTTGCGGATTGCTTCTTCAGCTAGGACATCCACATTGAGTTGGTCGTCACCAAAGGCGTTGGCGGTACCGACTTGAGTTACCGAGGGGGAAGTACGAAGGTGGCCTGCTATGGTGTGGATTGAAGCGAGAAGTTGAGGTAAGACGGAGTCGCGAAGCTGGGGATAAGATGACGGGACGAGGGAGTTGAGATGCGTTCGAAGATCTGTTGATTGCGACATGTTGGATGGGTGTTCGGCTATCGTGTTTTGGGAGATGTGGATTTTCCAGATGATGGGAAGGATGTTTTATTGTCGCAAGTGAAGTTCTATCAGGAGAAAAGAAATCCTCGTCTGCTAGTGCTTCTCTGACTGTGACGTCGTGGTGTGGAGTTGCGGAAGCTCCGTCCCTGCAGAGCTCCACAAGCATCCACATAAACACTGATTGTCTTCTCGGCCCTACCCGGGTCTTCCTTCATTCTACGACACTGAATACATCAGCCACATTACACGTGATACCTGGTAGGAATGACTCCACAGATGTTGAAGATGCCGTTTGGTTATTCAAGGTTATTCAAGGTGGGGGTCAGAGCGGGGTAGCTTTGGGAGCTTAGCTCCCTGGTGTGTAGTCATCACGACAAGCTTCAAACACTCATACATCGTATTTTTTTCCTTCTCTTTTCCTTGGAGTTTACTTGATCTTCGATCGCGCACTGATCTACGCGTCATTTCCATTCTCACAATGCCACAAACGCTCAAGATCGCGTCCGCGCAAGCACGCACCCTCTCCACAACCGCCGAGACCCTCGTCGCCCTCGAAGCCACCACAAAGCGCGCCGCCTCCCAAGGCATCGACGTCCTCCTGTTTCCCGAAGCATACTTGGGCGGATATCCTCGTACTTGCTCTTTTGGCGCAGCGGTTGGTGCTCGCGCACCTGAAGGTCGCGAGCAGTTCCTTCACTATTTCCACGATGCTGTCGATATGGGCGACACACCGAGCGGCGCTGGGCAAGATTGGCTAGACCGGAAGCTCGAACTGCCAAAAGGGAAGGAATACAGGGGTGACGGGACAAGAGAGGAGTTAGAAAGGATAGCGAAAGAGACCGGTGTCTTTGTTGTCACTGGAATAGTGGAAAAGTCGGGTGGCACACTTTACTGTGGGGTTGTGTTTGTAGACCCAAAGATGGGGATATTGGGGAAGAGAAGGAAGGTCATGCCCACCGGTAGCGAGCGGCTGATCTGGGGCTTTGGAAGTGCGAGTACGCTGAGGGCAGTGACAACAGAGATCAAAGGTGTCAAGCTGTGCATGGGATCAGCGATATGTTGGGAGAACTACATGCCGCTGCTGAGACAAAGCTTGTATAGCCAAAACGTGAATCTGTGGTTTGCACCGACAGCGGATGCGCGCGACGCCTGGGCGTCGCTGATGCGGACCGTAGGCTGCGAAGGCCGATGCTTCGTCGTAAGCGCAAACCAATGCGTCAAGAAGAAACATCTCCCGGAGTGGATTTCAGGCCAGGCGCAGTCGCAGAGCAATGGGGACGGAACTGGAGTTGGCAGGAGGATATCACAACAGGGCAGTGGGGCCGCTGGTAGACGGCGAAGTACCATCACAAAGACACAAGAGGGCCACGAGATTTGTCTGCCAATCCCGGAAGGCCAAGCGTCAGCCACGAACGGTGACTCTTCAGCGATCGACTCTTCATCGGTTACAGATGATCCACTTAGTCCCAAGCAGCAGCCCTTTGCGCAACCCCAAGCATCGTCCACAGACGGAGAAGAGTTTGTTTCTCGCGGCGGCTCTATGATTGTATCACCGCTAGGCGACGTGCTTGCTGGACCGCTGTGGGAGGAAGAAGATGAGCTGCTCGTTGCAGAAGTCGACTTCGAAGATTGTGAGCGTGGCAGACTCGACATGGACGTTGCAGGAAGCTACTCGCGCATGGACAGCTTCAAGCTTAGCGTCGAGGGTCTTGATCTGAACCCGCCTCCGATGTAGGCATTGTGAAACTCGACAATGAATCTTTCGCAGAGCTGGACTATTGGTTTATGTTTGCATCGTCGCTTTGTATGTACGCTTTGACCGCGACTTGCGCAAAACTCACTGTGCAATTGATCAGCCAGTACCTGCGAGGATTTAACCAATCCAATGCTCCTCAACGATCTGTCACCGCATATAATCTATCGCACGATAAAGCAATTAGTCTGACTACCTGCGGCCAACGTCAACGACATAATGGCTCCTCATTTCATCACGAAACACATCATGCCATGTTCTGGGACTCCAGTCCACAAACTAACCTGCAATCATACCATCCACGCTTCCTTTCTGCAACCAAACTCGTCCTCAAAATGTGCCCCTAACTGCGCTGCTGTTAATCTTTCCACCACCGCCGAACCCTCCTTTCTCTGTCCCACATGCTACGAGTCCACCCTCCGCGACGAATATCAAGAGTTTGTGAAGCGCTGCAAGAAAAAGGCCAAGGAAGGTGGGTGCAACATAGAGATCTTTGTGTGTGAGCTTAAGGAAGATTGCGATCATGGAAATTTGGTAGGGAAGGAGTGGATGAAGGAGGTTCATACCTGGTGTACTGTTTTCCTGGGTCACAAGAGTTTCGAGAAATTGGTGAAGGAGAATTACAGACGGAAGGTGGAGATGGAGAAAATGAGGGGTTGCAAGGCTGTAGATGGGGAGTTTGAGTAAGAAGTAGAGGTATCTGCTGCATGCTGATGAAGGGAGTGCTTAATCAGGGTTTGTTGATGTCGGGACGGGGTGTCTGGGATGATCTTCAAAGTCGCACGAGACACCATTGCCTTCACCATACTGAGTGAGGATAAGGTGCTTCAACACATCGAAAAAGTGATAGTACAGTGCGCCCGTAGCCTGCAAGCTACTATATTGCGTGAGTGCCTGATGCGCAGCCAACTGCTAGATACCTCCTCGCGCTGCAATGTCAGCAGACCCATAGCTTCGGAGACAGTTGAAGCAATATGACCACACCATGAACATTTCCATACACCTAAAATAGACGGGAGACTTCTGTGATATCTGAGTGATAGTTGAGCTCGCATTTTAAGGTGCGGAGCGGATAAGAAGGCCGTGATCGCAATGAGTGAGTGCTACGTCATCAACCAAAAACTTGACATGGGACAAGCCCACAAGACATCCCAACAGTGAGGATAGCTGTAGTGACAGAAACAAAGGCAAAAAAGAAAGAAGACTTGTCAAAGGAAGTATGCCGAAGCCCAAGGGGCTCGAACCCTCAACCTTTGGTGAACAGGCACAAGCCGAAAACCAACGCGCTACCATTGCGCCAAGGCTCCAGGTAGGAGGATCGATGAAAATTTTTGAAGTTGAATAATTTATGTCGCATTACAAAACGATCCATACTTCGAGAAAATGGGAATGAAGTGCTTGCTGCCACAACAGCCCACAAACTACGATGTCTCTGTTCCCTATGTGCGGAGGTTACCTGGTCGTCAAAGTATGGCGCACCAAGGTCTGCAGTCTTCGGTGCTTTGACACATCAGCGTGCCCCACATGTAACCACAAACTTCAAGCTATTGTCAATCAGGTGCGCAGCGAGGGGGCCGTTCGCAATCCGGGCCGGGAGACATGACCGTTATGTATTATAATGTTGCGGCTCCAGTCGTGGAAGAAGATCATGCGTGAATTGTTGGTACACAGAAGTCTTACATCAACGCTTCCGCACAAGCAAAGTTACCATACGCCAGATTTATGCAATCGCTAATAAACAAGACATAGTGCATGCGCCCAACTAACGCTCAAGTAACAAGCACTGACAGCCTTAATTCCGCGGCTTCCTCCATAGCTCCTCCGGGTCCAGTTGCCGTCCTGGCGACACGCCATTATTCGGCTGCGATCCGGAGTATTCGATACCACAAGCGCCTCGGTCTAAAGCAAGCGTGTTCAGGTCCCAATGAAGTTGTTGCTCAGGGTCTGTCGCTAAGCTCGTACGCGTACGTCCTTGTGGCTGGTACGACGCTTGCTCGACATTCGAGTTATTGGACGCCATCAGCGAAAGTGACAGAGAGTCGAGCTCAGTTGCAAATTCCATCTCTTCTTTGCTAGCTTCTAGTGCAGAGCAAATATTACTCGGCCGAGTCTTGGATTTGAGCTCCAGCTCATACACGCGCTGGTCACGCGAGAATTCTGCTTCGAGCTGTCGGTGCTCAGCATACCACTGCTCATACTGCTCCTTACTCATCTGCTCCATAGGTGGATAAGTCGCGTTGTGTTGCGTCTGTCGCTCTTCCCAGATCTTTGCTGCTTCTGCTTGAATGCATTCGTTGCAAACGAAGGGTGCATCCACTGTATTACCATACGGTTCGATGCAGTTTGCGCCACAATCCTCGACTAGGTCTGTACGAATGCGATGTGAACAGAGAAGCTGATGGTACAGACGACCTTGACATGGCGCGAATCGCTTGGAACGAATGTTGTTAAATGAGGAAACAGGTATTTGCTGCGATGTCGACGAAGATGCGAAAGGTGAGTTGGTACCTTCGTCGGGAGTGCTAGTCCAGCCCCATCTACACGCCATGACGAGGTTTGCGTGAGACATGGTATCGTCGGAGACTGTGGACGTTGGCATAGTCCGAAACGCACTGTTCGAGAAATTCATGTCGAGGTTGTGGATCAAGTTCGCAGTGGGAATTGCGGGTGATGTGCGGGTGGCGTCAGCTGACTACGCGTGGTTGCCTTGAGTGGTGGCGGCTATGAATACTGTCGATGTGTCCAAAGAATGGAATAGTCGATGGTATGGACGATGCAACGCGACAATGATCAAGGACCGAGTTGAGTAATCGGCGTTGTTCGTTCGACGGCGTGAAGGTGCATCGTATGTGCACAGGGCGCTCCAGTGGTGTGACGCTAGCTATCGCAAGGCGCTCAATCTACAGTCAGTCGACAGTGAGAGTATATTTAGTTACTTCAGTGAAGCGGGCCGATAGTAATGGGTCGCACGAGTGTGCACTTGAATCCTTGATAGATGATGTGCTGCCGGGGCCTGATGTGCAGGCGGATAAAAGTTGGTGAGTCGCGACGCGCTGGCCCAAGTTCGCGATGGGAGCTAAGCCTTGTACGGGCCGATGACGCTGTAGAACCTTGGAAGCTTCTAGTCTCGCCAAGTCAGCATCCAGCCACTCCTCGAGCTTCACAAAAGTAACACGAGTAGTTCTGATTAAGATAAATAAAAACAGAAACGCGAAGAGGCAGCTTGTCGTCTCCGCATTTTGTATGTGTCGTCATATAGGGAGATGCCCAGAGAAGGGGGTGGCAAAGAAGTAAAACAGGGGGGGTCAATTGATTGTACCACTGCTCATCGCCTCTTTCAATTTGTCTACCATACGACCTACAAATTCCCAAGTCTCTAGACCAAGAACCTGAAACCTCGCTCCGCACCAACTCCTGGGACAGCGTTGATCGCGCCTTCAACGTGTTCTCCCCTTGCAAGTTTCTTGTTCAGCCTTCCTAGGATGATCCGCATGATGACCGTCATGATGATGGCCAGTGCTGCAGTTGCGCAATCCACACTGAGTGGTACCGTCAAGTCCGGTTGTCCACTCTTCGGCTGCGGGTACATATAACTTGCATAAATCGAACTAGTATTACTGATCGCGTTGATGAAAGCTAGTGCAGCCGCTCTCTTTGCTGGCGGACGGGGTAAAGAATTGGAAATCCAGGCCAAAGCGACAACGTAGCCAGTATAGACACCAGGGACCATCAGCATCATGGCGACGTAGCGGGGTGCGGTAGCTGTTGTAGCTGCAGCCAGGATAAAGGCTGCTACACCCACGCAGAGTGGGAGAACAATGTGGAAGAATCGTTCGCCAGTGCGGTCGGCATGCCAGGCGTTGAGGTAGGTCGTGATAACTGCCAGGACATAAGGTGGCGCTGTCAACAACAGCGTCTCGATGTTTGGGTATCCAAGGGTTTTGACCACTGTTGGGAAGAAGTTGGTAACACTCGCTGAAGACACAATCGCGAGAAGAAGAATGGTGAGCACCCAAGTCTTGATATCGAGCAATGCGAGCTTTAGGCCGTGGAAGAAGGTCTGTGACTCTGCGGACACCCAATCATCTTCTCCAACATCTTCCTGAAGTCGGTACACGGCAAGTTGGCGCTCTTCTTCCGTGAGCCAGGAAGTAGTTCGAGGGAAGTTAGGCAGAATCCAAAAGGCTCCAAAAGCGATCGCAACGGTGATGACACCCTACAGAGTCAGCACTTGGCATATGTACTCACATCGCTTATGACACTTACTTCAATTATAAACACCCAGCGCCAAGCTCTAAGACCTTGCGTACCGTCCATATTACTCGTGATCCCCGCAGTGATTAGACCACCAAACGCTCCCGATATCAGACTCCCAGAGTATAGCACCGCCGTCCTCAGACCCAATTCTTTCCTTGTATACCAAGCGCTAAGGTAAAACAAGCACCCTGGGAAATATGCGGCTTCGATGAACCCGAGGAAGAAACGGCACACCACAAGTCCAGCGAAGTTCTGGCATGCGCCGGTAGCACCAGATATGATACCCCAGACGATCATGCATGTAGGCAGGTATATGGCCGGTTTGCCAGTCTTATTAAGGAATAAATTCGAAGGAATTTGCCTGAATGTAGATGTACCCAGTCAGTGTTTGTCTTGTATGCAATTTGTAACGGGGGATTCCCTACATGAGAATATAGCCGACGAAGAGGATGGAAACGGTAGTCTATCGGAATCAGTGGAGTGCTATCTTTATGTGATTCATCAATACGCACTTGGTACTGCACACTCGTGAGCTCCAGCTCATCTTGAAGACCTGCTAGGCGAACGGCAGCGATGTTATTCCTGTCGAGGTAATCTAAGTTCTATCAGCACTGTATTCACATAGTCTCAGCTGTCAAGGCATACTCATAATATACATCAGGATAATCATCGGCAACAACCTCGTATCGATCTTCCTCCTCATCTTCTTTTCCGCCTCAAATCTTTCCTCGGCGCTCATAGCGGCGACTAGCGGCGGCGCAACAAGCTTGCGATGTCCATCCACGGGCCCATTTCCAGCTTCAAGTGTCTTGGGCGCGATCTTGTCATTGGAGATTTGCTCAATCGAAGGTTTTTGGTCGTCAGTAATTCTCGCCATGATCGCTGTATCAGCGCGTGACGGGCGACTTGGTGAGCCTGTCCTTGTAATATACAATGTGCGACGGCGTTAGGCGCAAGCAAAGTGAATGCGAAGGCGCAACGATAAGAGACACCAAGCAACAACGCGGGGCCCCAAGCTTCCACTTATACGAAGCTTGCCGTACTTCCAAGCATCTACAGGGGTAGCTCGCGCCATTTACGTCGTCCAACCTCAAAAGACACATCGACGCACACCCATATCACGTAGCCGAGGGACGGTAGCCGACAACCGTACAGGAATGTCGGCCCGCCGCAGAGATCAGCATCTCACGGCAACGGAACATAACATGCGATTCGTCAATCGGGGTATCAGTTAGTCGTAGTAATATGCTGATGCAACGGTGTGCATGCGACACGGGCTGGGTGTGGTTTAGTACCCGTTGGTGTTGGAGGATAAATGGACATGCGGGGTGAAGATCGACCGAAGCGTCATAGGCTAGCGCCACAATCCGGGGTTGCTGCACGGCTTATGGAACGGCGGTGTTGCGGTATTCGCTCATCTTGCGAAGCAATTTCTGGAACACCAAGTTTAGAAAAATGGCACGAAGGAACAGCCTCAGATTTGCGGTAGACGGTGCTTGCTTGAGCTTCTTCCGTTCACAGAGGTTCTTGCCGATCTGCTCGAGGTGTCTGGTCGGCAGCGTTCTGCCTTCCATCCATAGATACCTTCACCACATACAAGGGAAAAGCTAAACAGGTATAGAAATAACAAGCCCTAGTTTGCAGCTTACGTTAGCTCCTAACAAGAAAACTAATAAGAAGTAATAGTATTATAGATTTCTACATCTTCTGTCTATATCTACATACATATTAATATAGTTCATTATAGTAGGAAAAGGTACTACCTAGGTATGCTCTAAAGAAGGGAAAGCTTTTTCGGCGGACCCAAATCGATATCCGGCTGACCCCAAAAAGATCAGATGAAAGCAATCGGCCATATAGAGATCCAAGATCGGATAAAAGCCAGGCATCTAAAAATATCACCCCTAGATTATAAGATGAAAGCGAATCGCCACCCAGAACCCGCAGGAATCTTTACCTCCCCTATTAGAAAAAAAGATTAGATAGAAGCTATCCTTCACTAAGAAAGATTGGATGGAAGCTATCCTTCACCAAGAATTTGCCTAATTGGGTAATAATATTTAAAAGTGTTGATAGCTTAGGTTATTTTGACTGCCTCTGGGACCTTCTATCTTGCCTAATTTCCTTTCATCTCATCTGGTCTTTTTGGGGTCAGCCGAATATCGATTTGGGTCCGCCGAAAAAGCCTTGCCCTAAAGAAATATTTAGTTCCTCTCTTTGATGTAGTGCTTTGAGGATTTCATCTAGGCTCACCAGCTTTAGTTACTTGCTTGACGTGCTCAGACTCCCAGTGACGGCTCGCCAAACTCGGCCACCCCACATGCCTCAATGGCGTCCAGCAAGGGGTTGGCGAGTGAGACGCTAGCCAACGGCAACAAAGCCCAGCATGATCATCAAGGAAAGATGCAGATACGAAGGGACGAGGGCCTCATCCTTAGTACTCGTCTAAGGGGAGAACGCACCCACCCCTGTGGAGTGGACAATGCTCCGCTCTATCTTCTTCAAGCAGCCCTCGTGCGCCAATTTCAAATAGCGACCATATCAGTCAGGAGCAGCCGCTTTTACTGTCGCCGTGAGGGAGTTCTTCAACCCGATCCCTGGAGGATCAAAGGTAACGGTCTTGATCCGGAGTTTGGATGGTCTCATCATCAATGCCTGATCCTTCCATAATTTTGTACAGTATGTGGTGGATGACCGGGGCATAGATATTCTGATCTTCCAAATCTACAAGCGCACTCCCACCTTGTGGCATCCATGCATGGTGCCCTGTACCGGTCTAGGCGCCGTCATGGAGTTCAGCGGGTCTGAACTGAGAGCTTACGCTAAGCATAAGGAAGACCCGACGTGCGACGTAAAGAAGCTCCTCGTGTACTTGAGATGTGTGCGAAAGGTGAGGGAAAAAAACCAGCAAAGGAACCCAGAAAAGGAATACCGTGCCGCCAACCACACATTCTGGCCCTATCTTCGTCCACTCCGACGAAGAGATTCCTGACGACCAAGACGCAGTCGACAGTACTGAAGAACGAGAACAATGGATGGACATGAAGCACTCAGGTGCGATATGTACAAGACCTCAAGTCATTAGGCTAGAGAACTTAGCGATGTTCTTGGGTCCATCACGGATTCCAGTGGTTCGAGAGCGGTATGTTGCTTTGTATCACCTTGAATGGCCGGAGGCACTGTTGGACAAGGAGGTACTAGGTCAGCACCAGAGAGAGTCACTCGGCTCACCTATCTGTCGCTGGAGAGTTACGTCGTCTCCGCAATCTCCGATATCGACGCGATTACACAACCGTCCGCATCATGTATCCTCTACGTCCGTTCCATATAGTTTCAATTACATCCCAGTACTTTATCGACCACCTGTGTACGCAGTAGTTCAAAAGGGATAGAAGAATTTCTCGACGAGTATCTGGGGAGTGACTATCTTTCGTATAGGCCAACACAGCCGATGATGCCTGAAGAGCTCGCATCAAAAGCCGTTATAGTTACAACATTCGACAACACTCATCAAGAGTTTGCACGATACGAGAACGTCGTATCCGGACAAGACAAGAATGCGGTAGGTTTCAACGTTCGACTACTTGGTTGGTCTTGTGGCATGATAGACATGCAATAAAACGTATATTGGATATGAATTAGCAGAACCGAGAAAATAATGATAACGTATATAGCTTTCCCGCAGCCGGCGATAGGTAACCAGCTATCACTCCATTAACGTAAAAAGAACGTATCTCTCATCAACGCATCACGCTCGAAACGCCTTTGGTGATCACCCTCCTCGTATCGCCCCTGCTGATATCTAGCAATGTCATGATCTTCGATATTAGTTGACCTTCTGTTGGTAAGACCTCTCCTCCCTACGGGTAGAGACTGTGCGCTGTGTTGCTGCCATGGATTATGTGAAGCCAAAACTGGCATAGATGGTCTTGAAGCAAGAAACCGGTCTGGGAGTGCAGCTTGGTCTTGCTGCTGCCTTTTCACCCGGGCACCTTCCTCTAGACAATGGAGCCTTAATTGTAAAGATTCTAACTTCTGTCGTGTAGCCTCCGCTTCTAGAGGTTCCGCAGACGGGAGAGTCTTGGGTAGCCTTTTGGAATCACAGCCTTTGGCCGACGTGGGGAGTGTGGTAGCTGTGAGAGTTTGGTGGCGCCACGAGTCAGGGTTTGCATTGTTCGCTGACTGTTCGCGTTGAGCATGTGGTCGAGGAACCTGGCCGCTCGGCACCTGAGCTTGAACTTTACATGAGAGAGGAGCGGTGTCACAACGTCGAATCCGATGGACTTCTCTTGTCTCGCTGGGTCTGACCAGCATAGATCGAGGTGGAGGCAATGTAATCCTTTGTCGCTTATCGAGGTTGATAGTGCAAGCCGATGCACCGACGGACAACTCATCAATCTGTGGTGCCGCGGATGGGACCTCATCATACGATAGTGTGGTGTGTTTTGTTCCCAGATCAGGTTTTACAATATGCTTCGCCTCAGGCTCTGGAAAGCGGTGAGTAGAGTTTGTAAGATTTTGACGCAGCCGATCTAGCGTTTGGACGAGTATTGCACAGTTCTTGCACATAGGTGTGCTTTCGAACTCCCGACTCGGTCGCGATGAGGAAGTTAGGCTAGAGGCGTTGCCCATGTAAACATGCTGGACATTCGAGCTTATCTCGCCGCAAACCGGCTGCAGCTTCTTCGTGTTTGTTGAAGGGCATGACACCGTCTCTCCTGAGTTGCGTTTGCGCTGCCATTGCTGGATTTTCTCTTCCGTACTCATCGAGTGTGAGAAATTCGCAAGGATCGAAGGGCCTGCGAAAGACTCAACGTGCATATCGTGCTGCTGCTTGAAGTCTGCAGGTAGAGTCGTGGCTCTAGCAAGCGGCTTCTGCAGGTGTTGCGATGGCGTCTTCTTCGAGATCCCAGGAGCGCGGCGCATAGGTTGCTCTACGTGGCCACTCAATCTTCGTTGCGGAGCGAGGTTTGGAGCTGGTAGATCTATAGTACCACTCTTCCCGTGTCGGATGATTTCAAGCATCGCGTCACCCTTTGGGGCCTTTGTCAGGTTTTCGTACCCACAAGAGGTAATGAGGATGTCGTCTTCGATGCGAACACCGCCGACGGGCATATACCGCTCCAGCACTTCCACATTAATAAAGTTGCGGTGGATAGGTGATGGAAGGTAGAAATGTTGCAAAGCGTAGACGGAGAAATAAATGCCAGGCTCGACTGTAACAACCATGCCCTCTTCGAGGTGGCTGCTTTGCGGATCAGACGGCGCGCGGCAGGTCTCGGGGTCATATACTGGTATATGGAAATTTTGCGGGTAAAGAGACGGTGCCTAATATTGTGTTAGCTGTTTATCAACATGGTTATTGCTTGCGCTTACCTGCTGGTACACTGGCTTCCCTCTCCTTACACTCATCAGCTGCGCCTGACCCACGTCATGCACCTCGAGGCCAATGTGATGTCCCAGCCCGTGCGGAAAGAATGCTCTACTTGTACCAGCTTTGTAGATCTCTTCCTTCGTTCCGTTATGGAGAATGCCCAGCTGCAATAGGCCATCGATAGCGATCTGGTGTGCCATGATGTGCAGATCCAGATATCTCACACCAGGTTCTAACCGTTTGATACATGTCTCTTGCATACGTTGGACCAGCTTATAGATGTTCTCTGCCTCTTTGCTCGGCCAAGAAGCGGACAACGGGAAACTGCGTGTAATGTCACTTGCATATAGTTCGTACTCGCATCCTGCGTCTAAACACATGAGTTGTCGACCTGCGAGATCTTCATTGTTCGCGTCATAATGGAGAGTTCCAGCGTTTGGCCCAGAAGCAGCGATGGGATCATAAGCCTGTTGCTTTGCTTGATGCGATATGCACACATCCATGAACAGACCCTCAACTTGTGCTTCGTTCTTGAATTTTGCGATGTTAGCGAGCACTTCTCGGTGCGCTTGCGAGCTGATATCATTCGCCTTCCGAATGAGCTTGATCTCGTGATCATCCTTGATCATACGACATATGTTCATGGCTGGCTGAAGGGCTGTCGAGTCGATGCGAGGCTTCAGGTTTTCGCAACCTGGGAATTGCGATGACTGGTGCATAGTGTAGATACTAGCCTGTCGGTTACCGATCGCCCATCCTTGGACGGCGTATTCAAGCTCATCTGCGTAAAATACTTGATCAACATCGTACTTCACAAGCGCCTCGGCAAGCGTAGAGCCACGGCCATTCCAGATAACGCGCTCAGGCTTGATGCGTGGGATGAACAAACAGAGTTCATCGCGTCGCGTGTCGTACGTCAGATGGCAGTCAGGCTCATTACATCTTCATACCATCAGCACGATCCTCACATTACTCCCAGATCAACGCACCCGCTCAAGTAGTAAAAGTATCGGCGTTGTCGGAAGGGTGCTGGCATGTCGCTATCCTCATTATTCCTCGCTGGCTGACCTGGGAGGTATATCAAGCCTTCTTCAACACCCAGTTTCTCTTGCACTCTCCGCGCATGTTGTTTTGCTGCGCGATGTTAGCTCGATGCCTGCTCCACTTTCATCTCCCAATACTAACCGGGATATTTCTCGAACGGAGTCTCCGCCTCGAGGTGCAACCAATACTCGTTGTCCTCCCATCTCAAGCGCTCAGAGAGACCTTTCGCATCGAGAACTTCCATCTTGATACCTCGTACTACCTGGGCGAAGGACTGCGAATGCGAAAGGTTGCAGCGCCGATGGAGATGCGACCGGCGTTTTAGTGTTGTCGAGGAGCTCACCGGTAAAGCCACCGCATAGCGCACGTGCCCTCGACTCCGGTCAATCAACCGGGAACGATGCGATCGTGGACAAGATTGACGCATTTGGCCCCTTCATACTTACAGATGGATTGGTACTGATCGAAAGCGTTCCCTCAAAGCGAGAGGCCAAGATAGTAGCATCGCGACTGCCAATGCATAGGTTCGACCAAGTTGCTCAGGTTGCCTCACAACCCCGCGCCCTGCTTTTCATGCCCAACTACTGTGCAACATCGTGTTCATGCGGCATTCGTGCCCATGTGCACTTCTGCATATTCTCACTGCGTCTAATAGGTGACACGAAAAGATGTACACCGATTCCGGGTCAAGCCAACAAAGGAATATGAAAATTGCAAGGTGTTCGGTCTGAGGAGAGCGCTGATTGGTCGTCGATCTTGACCGGTCACCGGTCAAGATGTCGAGCTACGAGAGGCACGAACGGACTTGTCAGACTGAGTAATGTCGCACAAACAACGAGCCGATCCTGACATATTATTCGACCATTATGTACGTGTATTAGACTTTGGCTATGAATACGAACAAGACCGACACCGGATATTCCTGAGCATCAATGCCGACGCCTATACAATCACAGTCTTCCTTAGAGGGTTTCAAGGCCGCGAAGGTAAAGAACAAAACATTTATCAGCTACCTAGGAAGTCGCGAACCTTAAAACCATTCGACGTCTTATTCGTGATGATCAACCTAGGGAGGGACCAACGTCGAGACCAAGCCACAAAGCATACCCGATGATCAACGCTGAAGGTACTCAGTGTAATGAACCCAGGCTTGAGACTTCCACTCAGCCTTCACGCTAGAGAGTAGAAGGAGGCAGGTCCAGGCTCAGCACGACCTCTAGTAGAAATGGAAGTAGTTGTAGCTTCCAAAGTTAAGCGCAAGCTGGGTTGCTTCATAGTGACATGTGTTGCTGTATCGGGGGCCCTTGATTTCTCTCCCGGACGCGTCAGGCAAGGCCAGGCTAGTGTTGATTCTGTCCATATTGGAGGCATTGTGAAGGAAGTCGAACATGGTGTTGCCGCCACGCGAAGTTACTTGACTTCGTATTCAATCTGGTAAGAAATGTTTCTCTGTGACTTGTATTTGATATGTGCACTAGTTTTGTACATGCAGATTCTAGGCTACAGACAGTCGTTCTGAACCAGTGCTTGTCGCTTGTAAAACGTGATGTTTGAGGGGTTGAGCATTGGGCACAAAACAATGTGCGGCTCGTTCTTCTATTCAATCAACGCATGCTGTTTACAGGCTGTGTATACCGTGTTGATGCGTGTCCGTCAACGGTATCTTGTCATCTTTTTCATTAGGCTTTGGGCCTGGTGTCGGAACTTGGAGAAGAACAGTTGCTTAATCAGAGCAGTAAACATGTTCAGGACGTGGGAAACTAATACACGAAGGCAGCCGAGAGGAAACAAAAAGTGCGGCCAAATACGTATGTCATAAAGGTTGCAACTGAAAGGCGGTGCATTGTCAGCATTGCTCAGGAAAGCAGCCACGGAATATCTAAGGTGGTAAACATGCACTATGCAAGAAGTCATGGTCCTACTCGTCGTCGTCGTCGTCGTCGTCATCCTCGTTGGTGAAGTCGTTGTCATCGTCATCTCCCATTTCCTCGTCTTCATCTTCGTCTGAGGCGTCAACCAGGTGTCTCTCTTCTGGCCACTTCACAGTCACTTCCTCTTCTAGCTCCTTCCAGAACTTGCCCATATCCGCCCCCGTATGCTCCTTCACCGTTTTGGTCGCTGTCGTTGACTCATCGTCAGCATCCTTTCGCTTGAATCCCACGTGCATGTGATCTTGCTGCAAGATACCGACTTTCAAATGATTGAGGGCAAGCTTCTTATCTGTGGATAGCCTGTGAAAGAATTCCCTCCAGAAATTGGGCTTGTGTCCGAACGGCGCAGCGGCAACAGCGGGAAGGTTCATCCTCCAAAGACTTAAATCTTCTAGAGTCGCTGCGAACTTCTTGATAAGGGCGACAAGAATGTCAGCACGAGCGCTCAATTGGCCGAGTTCGAGCTTCTTCAAGAGTGGTAAAGTGATTGTGGCGGGATCAAGGAAGGTCGCGCTACTTGCACCGGCAGCAAGCTCTGGGGTACCCAACCACTGCAGAAAGTCCTCGTTGTTGGCTACCAGATGTTTCTCGAAGTTCAAGCGGAGGTGTACCAGATTTGGGGTAAAGTGGAGAAAGCGTCGAAGTGATCGTCCCGCGTTCGGGTCGGCAGACGTTCCGTTGCTGTGGGTATGCAGGTAGCGAGGCTTAAGATCCACATTCAACAGCAATGTAGTTGTGTTCTGAAGTATAGGCCCAACGGTTGGCCGAATGTAATCTGGGAGGAAGAACGCTGTGTCTGGAAGGCCACGCTGGCGGAGTAGAACCTCGAATTCAGTTGGCTTTCGGTTCGCCTTGCCCAGAGCGTACAACACACTGGAAAAGACGCGAGATGCGAAACGTGTACCGAGTTCATGCGCGAAAGAGTCGCGATCGGAGAAGCGAAGTTCAATCCCGGTCTCGCGGTGAACAGTTGTAGCACCCCAGGAGCTCCAGCTCTTGCCATCGCGAACCCGATTACTAGCGTTGAAGTCGCGGATCCCGATCGTGGAGAGATTGTCGAGACGCTCGAATGCTTCTGTGAGCATTTCGCGATCGATCCCTGTACTCAACAACGTCTTTTGATCCTCGTAACCTTGAATATAGCGTGTAGCGGCATCTTCATCCTTGAACCGCAGTGGTATCTCACCATAAACATTGGTGGCAATGATGATATGTGATAGTTTCTTGGAGAGGCTCACGTGTTTGGATATGTCGATGAGTGCTTGCAAACTCTTGTGCGTAAGCATGAACTGTTTCTTGAAAAAGAACTCTTTCGAAAACCATTCGTAAAGCGACTTCTCGGTCTGTTTGCACGCCAGGCGGAGTGATCCTAGATCTTCGGTAGGAAGGTACTCTGAGACGGTGACCAGTAGTTCCAAGGGTATCGTGAGAAGCGATGCCATCTTGACAAGTAGTGAGGTTGGCGGAATTTAAGATTTTAGGTACAATGACGGCGATGCTTGTGGTACGATGCCGTCTTATCATGTGTGAACGCGTCGATCTCGCGAAGGCAGAAACGGACGCTGTTCCGCTTTGGGGGCTGATGCCTAAGGGCGCTCCTTCCGGACCCAGGCCAGCGTCTCACCGGACGCCTGATCCCGTCTCAACCAACTGTTCAAATAGCCATCTTTCACCTCCAATAGAGTCGCATCACATCTTCTCCAACTTCAATTGAACCAATGGCTCGCAAAGCTGCGCAGAAAGCCCCTGCGGCCTCTCCCCTTGATGGATGTACCGTCGCCGCGTCTGGCCGCTTCCCCAGTGGAGTAACTCAATCGGCACTACAAGCGCGTCTAACGTCACTCGGCGCCGCATTCGCGTCAAGCGTATCAGCAGACACGACCCATCTCATCGCAACTGAGAAAGATTTTGAGAGCAACTCTACCAAAGTCAAGGCTGCAGCCGCACACAACGTGCCAGTTGTCACGCTTTATTGGCTCGATGAATGCGAAACGACAGGTAAGTTCTGGATAATTTGTTTTTTTCCTCGAATCGTCATATACACCTCGGGATGCTACAAGGATATCCAAGTTGACGTTGGGTACAGATTCCAAGGTCGATGAGTCGCCATATCTGCTGTCTTCTGCTGCTGTGGCACCAGCCCCAGTCCCTGCTCAGAATGGGTCAAAGAAGCGCGCAGCGTCATCTGCCTCACCACCTGCAACTGCGCCGGCGGAGACTAAGAAGCCCAAAATCAAGGAAGACGCGAAAGTCGGCGATGGCCAAAATGCTAAATCCAAGCAAATTGCCATTTCTGTAGACGAGTTCTGCCCTCTAGCCAACTACCAAGTCTATATAGACAACAGCGATGGCACCATCTACGACGCGTCACTCAATCAAACAAACTCAGGCGCGAACAACAGTAAGTGATACGAGTTCATCCGATCTTTCCAAATACTAACGATACCAGACAAGTTTTACATAGCCCAGGTTCGTATGATCTTGCAAACGTCTTGGTTCTCTACTAACTTTCCAAGATTCTCACTAATGGCACCAAATATCAAACCTGGACACGATGGGGACGTGTCGGTGATCGTGGTCAAATGAAAATGCTCGGAAACGGAAGTTTCGACGACGCCATGAGGGAGTTTGAGAAGAAGTTCAAAGACAAATCTGGTCTCAGATGGGCAGACCGTGGCGAAGAGCCAAGAGCTGGCAAATATGCTTATGTGGAGCGATCCTACAACCCTGACTCGGACGACGACGACGAAGATGATGCTAACGCTGGCACTGCTTCCGGAGACATGGACACCAAGGATAGCGCTCCACCTGCTGAGAGCACCTTGTCTCGTCCTGTCCAGGATCTCATGAAGCTCATTTTCAATCAAGTAAGGCTACAGCATCCTTCCTACTTTTGGTAACAGGCTGTTCACAAAGACGTCAAGCTAACAGTGGCAAGGACTACTTTAACGCAACCATGAGTGCGCTCAACTACGATGCCAACAAGCTCCCACTAGGCAAGCTGAGCAAAGGTACTATCGCTCGTGGTTTCCAAGCACTGAAGGACCTTTCGGTGTTGATTGACAACAACGATGCCACGTCTAGAGATGAGGTGGAACGCCTGTCAAACCAATACTTCTCCATCATTCCCCACGCGTTCGGTCGTAATCGTCCACCAGTTATTCGAGACATCAATCTGCTTAAGAAGGAGATTGAGCTACTCGAGAGTCTTTCGGACATGAAGGAGACGGCTGCTATGCTCAAGGATCAATTGAAGGACAAGAGCGACGTCAACAAGCTTGACAAGCAATTCCAGGGATTGGGCATGAACGAG